AAATAAGTTATTTACATGGTTTGAGGTTTTTTATATTGAAGTGTAAGGTCATTTAAGCATTCTGCTTCTCTAAGTACTTTCACTTGTTGTCCTGACTCTAGTATCTACTGATTTTTGTCAGCTTCCTTTAGAAAATGTTTGTACAAAGGACACATAGAAAAAGAAACAGTGCGCAAAGTTACTTTTCTGTATTGTCTAAAGTTGAAGAATTTACAGTTAAATTAGTTCCTTTTCCCAAAGGGTTAACACTTCCCACCAAATGTACCAGCTGAAGACTTAGGACAACTATTCCAGACGATACACATTTGTAACCTCTCCCTTTACCATAAGATTGCCTGGGAATAAAAGAATAAGTCAGACATTCAGCATTTACAATAAGATCATCATATTTTCCTATAGGCTTATAAATACAACTAAATGCAACTTCAGGAGACTGATTGAATCAAATGTTGAGGCAAAAAAAAGTTAACTATCTATCTATCTATCTATCTATCTATCTATCTATCTATCTATCTATCAATCTTCCTATGTTTCACCTATATTTTTTCCCCTGTACAATTAATAAACAAAGAGATTTATTGATGATTAAATATAGTAAGATATTGAGAAAGGTTAGGAAAACATATTAAACTAAATTTTAGCAATGAAATTCATATCTCTGAAATGTACTTGCGGTGTCAAATTCTTTATATCTGAGATATTTTTAAGTCAACAAAGATATATCAGCAGGAAATTTGTCACACTGTAAGGTCAACAGCCAAACTGCCTTTAGGTGGACTGCAGGCTCTTTGTTATATTAAACATACCAGGGGGTGTTTTCTGGCCCTGCACTCACCTTCCATTGGCCAGGTATAATTGATACATTACATTGCAGACCCTAAAGCAGACTTTTACCTACATGATTTCCTAGGTCATGTTGATACCGCAACAGGCCTGAGTTCTGGTCCACATTTGTGTCAATGTGTCAATTAAATTTTTTTCTAAGAACTTAATAATATTGACAATGTGTTTCAGGAATGTTCTGAGGTCCTAAACCCTACAGAGCTGTTTTATAGTCAGAGGTAGACCACTTAAGCTTTCCCACCAAGCTTTTGTTGTGTCTAGATATATGTATCATAATTTTGTTTTATATTTATTTTTTAATGAAAAGTATGGCAAAAATAACCTTATATAATTTGCTATTTCTTTGGAGAATATTGTATGTTCTGTCATTGTGTTTAAGACCTAAGCAACAGGAATTTCATCAACTAATGCTTGTGTGTTATGTTTTGAAATTTTTTCCTGTCCTGTTTATTCCTTTACATTGCAATAGTAATAGATATCTGAATAACAAAAAAGAAAAAAAGAGATGAAGATTTCTAGGGAAAATTAGGATTTTAACCCCAACTGGCAACTAATTCCCATGCAGCCCTTTGTTCACATATCCTCCAAATAGGATGGGGATAGAATTGAAAGGGTAAAAGTGAAAGAAACCCATGGGTTGAGATAAAAGCAATTTAATCAGCAAATCAAAAGCAACACATACAAGCAAAGCAAAACAAAGAATCTATCCCCAGTTCCCATGGACAGGCAGGTGTTCAGCCATCTCCAGGAAAGCAGGGCTGCATCCCACATAACAGTGACTTGGGAATACAAATACCATCACACTGAACATCTCCACCTTCCTCCCCCAGATATATGAGCTGAGCATGAGGCCATATGGTCTGGGATATCCCTTGGATAACTTGGGATCAGATATCCTGCCTGTGTCTCCTCCCAGTATCTTGTGCATCTGCATGTAAATCCTACTCAGCAATAATGAATATATCTCAATAATATCAACACTGTGTTTAGCACAAATCCAAAGCACAACTCACATAAGAGCTACTGTGAGGAAAATTAATGCTAGCCCATCCCAAACCAGCACAGACCTAAATCTTGTAAACTCACCTTACAACTGTAATAGCCAGTAATGATACAGTTTCAGCTTTTTCGTGCAGTATTTTAAATTTTTTTCTCACCTTCTTCTCCACATCAATTACATTAGGACTGCAGATTCATATAGTCTGCAGCATAACTCAGTTTTCATTTGTATGACTTTCTAAGTGACAGCCCTTTAAAAAATGATCTTGACAGCCAAGGAGTGAACAAAGTTACTGATGCATAATATTGTGTGTTATTGATGGCCAGATTCTCTTGACAGGTTGCAAGTATTTTGGAATAGCCATCAGGAAAAAAAATAAGTAAGAAGTAGTCTCTATTTTAAAGAACATTAAGCATTCCTCACAATAATGTTATAGGTTGTATATCTAAGCTCAAAGCTGTCACTAAAAATAATGAGATTCTAGGTTCTCTCTCTGTCTAGGTTCAGATTCTAGGTTCAAACTCCAAGAGATTTTATAGACAAATAATTATCAAAAAGATCTGAGCAGCTGTGTAAGTAGTTGCTGTACATTATTCATCAGAACACTTAATGTTCTTTTAGAACGTTGATTCAAAAAGTGTTTAAACTTCCATCATTTTATTCTCAGCAGTCAAAAATGAAATTGTTTTGGAGAGGCCTGAATGCTTATAATGGAAATCTCCTGCTGATTTCAGTGTCCTTTGGATCAACCCATGAGTGTTCTTCAGTCCCCTTATAATTATTTTCAATAGCTCTGAAGTAAGAAAATGTACTACTGAGTTTTAGTCACTGAGCAATTTAAGCAACCAAATTGAGTACATACTGCTTTAAATACTGCTTTGTGTCTAATCTGTGTGTCCAGATGGCAATGTGAATTTTTTGCACCTCTGGTTTAAAACAAAAAAAGTATACAAAGAAGTGCAGAACTTCATAAAGGTTGCTTCAGCTTGATATGGCAGGTTACATATCCCTGAAGAATGACTCAAACTGAATCCTATTAGTTATCCTATGACAGCACCACTGACATGTTCCTGTTCTGACAGGAAAAGCTTCAGAGTGGCTGGCCCATTGATCCAGTGACGTGGACATACTTTTAAACTCCTGCATTCTCTGATTTTTGCAACTTTTGAAAAATGTAACTGCATTTTTTAAAGTATTTACATTCTTGTAGTTATCAAAAATGCAACCTGGATTACATATGCTATTCTGCAAAGTCAAATCCAAACGAGAGAAATATATCTGACCTTGCTGTTTCCCTCCCCCTTACTAAAATATCTAAATAGCAGAAAACACAAGTTTACTTTCATTAACTCTCTGATAAAATCCTCAGACTCTTAAAGTAATTTTTGATTTATTTTTTAAAGATTATGAAGGACTGCTGTGATTCCGTGTGATCCTTTGACCATTTCTGACCTGTGTTAGCAGGTAAACCCTCCTTTGGACCAGGACCCTGAGGTCTGAGGCAGCTGAAATTTCCTTTCTGTTGAAAGAATTTTACCCATTCACACAGAATATACTTGTCTATCTCATCAGAAAAAGCCCTGGGCAGCGGATGGGAAGCTGAGAAAAGATAGAATAAGCCATTTAAAGCATTACTTTAGTTTAAATATGCCAAATTCAGCTATTAGCCAATAACGAAAATGAGCAGTAACAGACTGCAGAATTTTGCCCCTTGTTGTTTCATATGTGGGTGGTCTGTTCACCTTCACACACTGTTGTTTTGTAAGTAAGCTGGATTTTGTGCTGGGCTGCAGCTGCTGAAACAAACAGCAGGTTTTGTTTTGGAGAAAAAAGTTGGTACTTCCAACAGCATCTTTCAAACCACTTGAACCATGTATTCACCAGCTCAGTTCTCTTATTTAAGAGGCAGTGAAGCAAGAATAAAACCCAACAAACTGTAGTGATACATGTTATAATATTTTTTAAGAAAGTGAAATATCACACTGCATATTTATACACTGTACACTGTTTTAACACTTACAGATCTTCAGATAAGTTTGTATCCAAGAAACACATTTGTTTAGTCACGATTAGATCCAAATTATGTAAATAATTTCAAATAATCATGTGTGCTAACTCTACCTCAAGTATATTTTAAAGTATTATTTGCTGCAGGTCTTACATCTTCTCCCTATCCCATTTTGTGTAATAAGTGGGAAGTATTAATTTATATGCACTGTAATATTGTGTAAGGATATTTGGCTTTGTAATATATGATGCAATTTAGCCACTGAGGAAAATATTTTTGCCTGAAAAGAGCTTATTTCCATCATTTCCAACAGTTTACATTGTTTTGGTTTTCTGATGATAAAAACAAAACAGCAGATGTTGTCTAAAAAAACTCATGACAAATATTAATATTCTGATACCCGGTTATACCTTTAACAAACTCCATGCAGTGACTCTGCTAACCCTGTGTTAAGAAGGGCTCTATCTAGAGTAGCAACCATTTAAAACTGTGAGGGGTAAATGGTTAATTATCTAATTAGATCCATATTTTATTTAATAGTAATTTTACTTTGAGAAACTTCTTACCTATCAACATATATACAATTCAAAGCACATCCAGATGAGCACTCATGGTCCTTCTACAAAGCCAAAGATTAATCTGAAGATGATTTTAAGCCATGTAGTCCTGTTGTCAATTGCGGCTTCCGGGGATCACTTGCGGCTTTCCCCCGTCCCTCCCCAGCCCCCCGGGACACCTCCGGCTAGCTGTCCCCTCAGGGGACCGGGGCTTGCCGCGGTCCCGCTGCACTGGGCTCACCAGGCAGCGGCTGGGTTAGCACGGTCCGAGCGGCTGTGCGCCTCGGTCGCCGCAAGGAGTCGAGATAAAGAGACAAAGAGAGGTCAATTGTGTGCAGTCCAGAAAGATTGTATTGCCTGAACGGTTGCAGGGACAAAAGACGCTGGGCTACTGCCCAGATACAGTTTTATACAGCAAAATTAAGAGATAAGGTCTAAACAATAGAGACAGTGTTCAGCATGGGCTCATCAGAACCACCCCAGGGGTCAGGTCCAATGGGAACTGCTCAGGGGTGGGGAGAAGGGGGTTTACATAAAGATGCTGAAGCGAAACTTTCCCGAAACAATGGGGCATACATAAATGTACCTTTTCCTCATACCTAAATGTATCTTTTCCTCAGTTTCCAATTCCCAAGGCCTTTCTAAATCCCTTCCTCCACACTACCACGCCAGCGTGATAGCAACATCTCCCTCTTCTTTACTTAATAAGATGAACGGTGCCTTGGGAGAAGGTAAAACTGTGTCTCTCAAACTGCGGTGTCTCTCTGCTTGTCGTCTTCCCACCAATCGCCCTCCGTGGCGGCAGCAGCGATGAGAACAGGTGCGGAAGCCTTAGGCTTCGAGGTGATGACCTTGGAGATTATTCGCTTAAGAATCCCAAATGCTAACAGAACTAAAAACAGTGCAGCTAGAAAGTAAAAGATGTCTTTTAAAAGAGACACTGCCCACCCAGAAAGGTCCCAGTCTTTGAACAGATCCTTAAACCAATCCTCATTTTCTTGCTTCACACTCCCAATGAGGCTTCTCATTTCCTGAATGGACGAGTGGACACTCTGGCCTTTAGATGACAGATCAAAACAACACAACCCATCAAACTCTTTACATCCATGACCATGTGCCAACAGCAGGAAATCAATAGCTGCCTGATTTTGGAGGGTAGCCTTTCTGGTTATTTCCTCGTCTTCTAGGAGGTCACTCAGGGCTGCTGATGTTAAATTTGCCTGCTTCGTCACCCAGCATTCCAGATTGCCTAATTCACTCAATGCTTTTGCTGACGCAACCCATGGTAAAAACACAGAGACGGCAACTCTTTTGGATTTTGCCCAATGGTAAATTTCTGCATCACAATGTTCATCAAATTGACTTGCACTTCGCTTAGTAATTTTTGTCTCACCTTTTGCTCGCCCGATTGGAATTTGGGTCATGTTGGGGGAAGCAAGGGTCAGATGCCCGAAAGTGCATGGACCTCTAATAAGACGAGAGGGGATTCCTGGGTATGCTCTGTCCCCACAGATAAGAAACACTCCTTTGTCCAGCTTGCGGGGACGGAAATCAGTGGTGGATGCAAATTTCAGCTTATAGACAGCCGTGCACCATTGACCCGCCCTGAATTCCACCTTGTACTGTTTGACTTGCTCATATAGTTTTACTTCTTTGGTTGGGGAAAAATCAAATTGAATGCAATATTCAGCTTTTGCGGAGCCCAGGAGTTCTAATTCCTGGGGCTCTCCCTCAGCAGAGGGCAAGTGTAGGATCCACTTTTGCCACAAAATGAGGGGGTTTTGCACTGGTATTTTAACTTGTTCTACAGCTCCTCGGTGCCTATAGAACTCTGCTCCCGCCTCAGGTATTTTATTTTCGTTCACCTGCTTTTGCGAGCGGACCAGACCGATTGGAAACTCATCCCCCTTACTTGGAACCCCTACTAAACATGTGGACATCGGATTTTCTGCTGAGGCAGTAGACAAACACATGTGATCTTGTTTCAAGGCTTGGGCGAGTGTGACCCACACATTTTTCTTGGGCTGTGGAACAATCCACGCGTCCACCATGTACGGGTAGATGGCCATTTTCTGGAACCAAACGATGAGCAGGAATGTGGAAATTGACATTCTGCTAGTCTGAAAGAAAGATAAAATCATATAACAAGGTAAACTAACTCTGAAAAAGGTACAATTTGCTCTGCCAGTATAAAGGAAAAAGATTCCCCCTGCTCCCACTTTCCCCCCTTGGTAAGGAGGAGGCCCTGCAGACCCCGGAGTTCTTGGGGTTGCTGCTGCTGAAGCAACCACCCTTTCCTGCAGACTTATCACTGAGTCCTCTGTCATTAGTGTAGCTTTTCTCGTGCACTCCTCAATGAGCTGATCGAGTGTGGGTGGAGGCGATGCTGGAAGGGCCAGGATGACTCGTTGACAGGCTTCATTTGCATTTGTGGTGGCAATTTCTGGTGTGAGCTGGTCTTGGAGCTCTGGATTTTGCACCCTTTTCTCGACTGAAGCTCTCACTCGATCCACAAAATCCATGAACGGCTCTGCAACAGACTGCTTCAAAGCGGTGTAAGAAATGACAGGTTCTTTAGAAGGCATGTTAAAAAATGCACGTTCTGCCGCATCCCTGGACAGGTCTAACACTGATCTGGGAATGCCTGCTGCTTGCTTCTCAGCTTGGCTCCAATCACCCTCACCCACTAGATGTTCTAAGGTGATTTCCTCATCCTCTATATCTGTGGAATGGGTTGGACTCTGCAAAATCTCTGGAAGGAGGTCTCCTGCAAGCCTTTTCCAAGTTCTTTCCCACAATCTAAATTCAGATTGAGGGTGCAAACAGCTGAAAAGACGTCTCAAATCAGCAGGGACAAAAGTTTTGGAACCTAGAGTAGCTTTTAAAATGCTCTTAAAAAATTCACTCCTTTCTCCAAATTCACGTTTTGTTTTGCAGAGTTCCCTGATACTGTCGTATGAAAGGGGCTCCCATCTAGGGTTTTGTCCTCTCGCATTATAAACCACTGGGGCCATGAACGGAGGATCGGTGTCTCAGGCCAGTTTCTCTTTCCTGGAGCCGACAGTCCCGGAGCTGGCAGCTCCGGCGCTGCCGTTGCCAAGGGAAGCAGGAGCAAGAGGGGGGGCGGCTTGTGTGGGAGTGGCCGCGGCTGGAGGGGCTGTGTGGAGCGGGGCAGGGGCAGGGGCAGGGGCAGGGGGTGGTGATGGAGCTGCGAGGGGAGGAGCTGAGGGCTGGACCATGGGCTGAATCGCCACAAGGGAGGAGGGATTGGGATTGGGGATGGGCAAAGGGAGGGACACGAGGGCTGGGGGTGTGTTCTGGGCTGGCACAGGGAGCAAGGAATTCTGGGATGGAGAAGGGAAAGTCGCGTTGCCGCCTCCATCTTGTGGTGGCTGCACGAGCGGGGTGGGGGGTGCAAAGCAAGGATTTTGAGCTGCGGGAGCAGAATCAGGAGATGGAGAAGGGTCAGGAACTGAATCTACATCTGCGCGGTTAGTTTTTTCAAAGCGGGGGACGTGGGGGGTTACAGGGGACGCGATGTGACGCTTTTCTCTTCCCCGGACGTCCCGAGTGTCTGCACTCTCTTTCACAAAGTCATAAACGAACAAAAAGATTCTCATAAAACCTTCTTTCACTGAGGGATCTCCTGCCTTTGTCCTTTCACTCAACACTGCACCCACACGCTTCCAAAACTGTCTTTCTTTGACATCTTGCTCTGTTACCTCCGAAAAACTTACTGTTACCCATCTGACAAACTCTTTCACCAGGCTCTCAGGAGGTTTTGCACCTGCTCTCTGCAGGGGTTCTTGAACTTGTTTATAAATCTCTTTCTGCTGTGTAGTCAGCGTAACACCCATCGCTGGCAGCACAGCAAAATCTCACCCAGCTGCTGCAGCAAAAACCCCAAAGTTCTAAAGACCCGGCGGAGCTCCTGACATGCCTGCACGCTGGCGTGTCCCCCCTTGGGCACATGGGAGCCTGACTCCAGTCTCCTGGCCGGACCCTCGCCGCCAGTACCGAGACTTACCCACCGCCGTTCTTCAGAAAACACACTGCAGCAACGGTTCCCGACTCCGCAAACAGTCTTCCGGGTGTTAGGAAGGTCCCGTCCACATCCACGGACACAGCGCCGGACAGAAATCGGTGCCTGTCCCCGCGGTGGCAGTCCTGCCGGGCTGTGTGGAAGGGCGGGTGCCCACACCACCAGCGTGGTCCGAGAGCTTCTCCCCGCGGAGCTGACAGCCTGCGTGGCGGTTTTTTCGCACCGCTCGCCGCTCTGTCGCTCGCGGCGACACAGATGGCAAAGTGTCCGGAAAAGCTCCCAACCGGTGAACTGCCCGCGGCGGCCGCGGCATGTTCGCTCAAACCGGTGCAATGCCCCACATTGGGCGCCACTTGCGGCTTCCAGGGGTCACTTGCGGCTTTCCCCCGTCCCTCCCCGGCCCCCCGGGACCCCTCCGGCTAGCTGTCCCCTCAGGGGACCGGGGTTTGCCGCGGTCCCGCTGCACTGGGCTTACCAGGCAGCGGCTGGGTTAGCACGGTCCGAGCGGCTGTGCGCCTCGGTCGCCGCAAGGAGTCGAGATAAAGAGACGAAGAGAGGTCAGTTGTATGCAGACCAGAAAGATTGTATTGCCTGAACAGTTGCAGGGACAAAAGACGCTGGGCTACTGCCCAGATACAGTTTTATACAGCAAAATTAAGAGATAAGGTCTAAACAATAGAGACAGTGTTCAGCATGGGCCCATCAGAACCACCCCAGGGGTCAGGTCCAATGGGAACTGCTCAGGGGTGGGGAGAAGGGGGTTTACATAAAGATGCTGAAGCGAAACTTTCCCGAAACAATGGGGCATACATAAATGTATCTTTTCCTCATACCTAAATGTATCTTTTCCTCAGTTTCCAATTCCCAAGGCCTTTCTAAATCCCTTCCTCCACACTACCACGCCAGCGTGATAGCAACAGTCAATAGCAAAATCAGTCATCATGTACTCACACCAGCATAAATATATATATATACACACAAAAAAATACACATACAAAAGATACACAGAGCTTCCAAAAGTTCATTTACGTGATTTGATATGCAAGGAAGGAAGAGAAAAAAACCAAAAACCACAACACCTCATTCACCCTCCCCAAGAGTGGAGATCCAGAAATTCTGTATGAAATGTTTCTGCTTCAGGGAAAACAATCTGGCTTCATCATGCCTGGCTTGGAAATGTTGTAATAACTTCCTTTTCTTTGAGGCAATTTTCCATAATCCAGCTATCAGTTATTCAAAGAAAGAAACAGACATTATTCTACCATTTAAAACACTGCATGTTTACTAATCAGACTGAATTCTTGTAAATGAGCTCTTGCCTACATTTACATTTCCCTGTAGTGTCACACTACAGTAACACTGGAATCCCTGTAATTGCAGAAAACCATTTGATATCAGCTTCTTTTTCTTAAAAAGAATAAAAATATGTCATTCATTGTAAGTTTTGCTATGATTAAATTCATTTCAGAAGCTGGATCTCTCAATATGATCCTGCAAGATTAAATAATTTCCCTTTGAGTACCAAAATGTTCACATTAATTACATTACTGAGGTATAAGCCTTATTGTCATAGATCTTGGAAATATCATTAGGTGATTTAGTTGAAAAGTCAGTAGTATCTCAAAATAGTTCAATGAATCTATGAATGTCAGTGTTTCTTATGAAAAATACTGTCTGGATATCTGTGTTAGTAGAGAACCAAAAGCAGTAATGTCATTTGGAATAAAGCATATCAATGCATCTTTACTAAGATTAATGAATACCAAGATGTGTAGTAAACCCCATAGATCATTATAGATCAGCATAAGATTTGTTATAACTGGATGAATTTCTGTTGTTTAGTTGGTTGTCCTACATGGATGGAAAAAGCAGAAGAACATTCAGATTTAGTTATGCTGTGTTTAATAAAAAGACTTTGCTTACACAAAATTTGCAAGAATTTTCAACCAATATAATTCAAAAAGTGTCCTGAAAATTCCTTGACAACAAATACACATTCCAGAGCTTTAAAACCTATCTTTTCTTGTTTTATAATGTCCTACCTCTCACAGCCATATCTGACTGTGCTAAGCATTACACATACTAACAATAAAATAATTTTTCCCGCTCCAGAGAATTTCAGATTTAAGTTCATATTGACCAGTATTAAAAAGTGCAGGAAACAATCTGCATTTTGAAATAAAATACAGATTTTTTGTTATTAGAATCTAGTCATCTTCTAGGCTAGCTGAGACAAAGCTATGCTGAAATTTCGTACAATAAACTAGGAAAATTTCTTGAAATTGAGTTAATATAAAAGAAAACATATACCTGATTTATTTTATCAAAAACAAAGTGAATTCATTACAGGCATAAAATATTCTCTTAATCCCTCTTGTTCAAGATCATTGATGACACAGATCCTTGTGTTCTAGTGAAAAGATAAATAGAGAATATTTATGAGCTTAGTGAGGTAACCATTTTCGATACTTTCTGTGCAATACAAGGAGTTATACTTGTATATACTCATTCTTCTATTCTCAAACACATAGGCAGTAACAAGTAACAAAAAAGAAGGATATGAACAGCCTGTCTGCAGACTGTAATTTAGTATGATTCTTGATTACGTATAAAGTTACAAGTCCTAGCAGAACCTACACTGAAGTCAATGCACTCAATAATTGTTTGCATGGGCAGTTATTAAGTGTTCTTTAGTGACTTGCTTCATACCACCAAGTTGGAACTGATTCTCCACAGTGAAAATCCACATCAAAAATCCAATTTTTCTTATTACTCTTGGTTTTAGTCATATGTTTCTTGCAACGTCAAATACTTCTTGTCTGTAAATCAAAACCCGCTACAAACTACATCAAAGCAAATTCAACTGTGTTGTACGAGCATGTAACAATTCACAGCATTCAAAGGCCTTTTAGTTAAGAGTAACTCTCAAATTATCAATTAAGCCAGGATTTTTTTTCTATTACAAACCCTATGAGATAAATCCTGAATTAAGCTTTAGAGTTGCATGCCCAATATGCTAGAACACATTTGGGCTCAAGTCACCTCTTCAGTTAAGTGGGGAAATAAATAGTGGATGAGGGACATCTGAAAAATGCTGAGCCAGAGAGGCTTTAGAAAACAAAGACCTAACCAAAGTCAGACTGCATCTCACCTCAGACCATGGAATAAAGTGCTTTAAAGAATTTTCACAGCATTGACGTTCTCTGCTTTGAAGACAAGTGTCTTGGCTACAGCTCTACCTCTTCATTCATGATTCAAAAATGTCTTCTCCTTAGTATGAAATGTATCAATCTGATCTTCTCAATTTTCCTTCATAGAGGTTTTGTTATTGTTGTTTGTTTTTGTTTGGTTTGTTTTTTTGTTTTGTTTTGTTTTGTTTTGTTTTACAGTAAAATAATTAAGGACATCAATTTTTTTCTTTTTAGTGTTCATGACCAAATATGTACCTATTGTTTCAGTCATTTAAATTCACAAAATGGCTAATGAAAATTTTCATTGTTCCTTTGACATGCAAATTTCCACCTTATGGGGTTATTTTACTATCTTTCCTTCTATAATAAAAATGTATTATAGCTTGGGCCAAATTACCCTCAGCTCTGAAGAATCAAAACAAATGATTTCATCATTTTATTCAAACCACGGGATTGTGGAATTCCATATATTCTTAAAAATGATACATCATCTTTCAAAAAGAACGATCAAATTACGATTTCACTGAGGTGCTAGGTTTTATGCCCATTGTTCTGCACAAAATTCTGTATAAAGAATGTCATTCTTAAAGAAGAAATTATTTTCTCACATGTAGTGGTTTTGCATGGGAGGCATTTAGGGAAGGGAAATTGGTGTTTCTGCCCAGTTTCGAACTGAAACTGCCACATCATCTCCATTTGATTCGTTGTGTAAATACTGCTGAGTTGATATAGAATATGTTCTCAGAGTTTTGGCACAGTAGGTGTGCAGCAATTCAAAATTATCTTTTCTGGATTTCATGTGAGTGTTCATGTAAGTAACAATGAACATAATTAACATTCCTTGTAATACTGACATATTGCCATAACTCTTTTCTGGATCAGACAACTAATTATTGTTCTTATAGAAAAGAAAACAAAAAAAAATCAAAACAAAATACAGGAAAAAAAAAAAGAAAAATAATACTCAAGAGTGATTTCAGATGTCTTGTTTAAAATATCAGAAACTGACTGTTCCATAAAACTATTATTTTTTTATTCTTTTAAAAAGTTAAAAGGACAGTCAGTAAAGCATTTAGTCTGTATTTGAACAGCAAAGTACTCCTTGTTTTTCTGCAATTTGAAGTGTTTGCTGAAAATCTTAACAGCTTAAAACTTAACATTCACCCCAGCATCCATTATCTGATTGCTGTGGAAGATTATATATGTTTTTCTTTTTGATTCAAAAGCCAGAGGGTGGTTGAATTATTGCAGGAAGTTTTCTGTATAGCATTTCAGAAACTCCATAGCAACTGTATTCAAGTCATGGCACCTGCACAACATGAAACTCTTCAGAGCTCTACTTTGGGTTCAAGGAAGGTATCTTATAAAGTCGTGATGACATGCAGAGATTGTCAAAGGAAAATATGTCCATTATGGGAAAAAAAAAAAAAAAGTGTATATAGAAGTATCTTGCAAACCTACCTACATGGAAATGTTAAAACCATTCTTTTTCTGGAAATAGCAATGAGCAGTGGCAACTCCTTTCATTATTTTCCCTGAACTGCAAGCATTGAAAAATCTTATTCAATAATATGTTATTAGAAAAGAGGTGACATGTACTCTTGTACCCAACAGCATTTCCAAGAGATTCTTTTTTACTTTGTGAAAACTTATAAATCTGTTACTGTTTTCCTCTAAGAAACAACAAAAATAATTTTGCTAACATTTTTCTCCAAAACTTTGACATTGTGGTTACATTAACTATAATTTTCCTGACCAGCGCTGGCTGCAACCACCAATTATTACAAGTGTAGTAAGCATTACTATTTACAGTGTTTTACAGCAAGGTGGAAATGCTTTTGCACAAATTACCTCAGCCATTTACTTCTTTCTCATTTTAAAACAGGGACTAAAATTTCCTTTGCTCATTAAGATTATTTTCCCTGTTTTTAAATGTTGCTTTATCTGGAATGAGAAATTTTCCCACATATTCATTAAATCAAAAAGCAATTATTTTAAAATGCACTGAAAAAATTGTCTGAGTAAATGACATTCTTTTATAACTGTTCAAATTTCTCATGTGCAGTGTCATCATACATGCATTAGTTCTCCAGTTTTTGGCTTTTAAATTATGTAAAATATAAAAAT